ACCCCAGTTCAAGTGCACACCAGCAGCTTGCAGAGGCCGTGACTGAGACAGAGTAGAGTAAGTAACGTGTCCAAACCCAGGGCTCATTGCCATCCCGGGAAAATGCAAGTCAGGAGACAGAAAGCTCAAGGTGTGGCAGGCAGGACTTTAGCTAGTCTGGGTTTTACTTTCAGCCTCTGTGATCTGTTATCGAGTTAAGATTGAATTGGACTGAAACCACAAATTCTCTCTTGTAGGTTAACAGGTTAAAAGAGGTAGTTAAGTGTATCCTAATGGAATTCACATGACCACCACCACTTCCAAACGTGAAAAAGATGTTGGGGCACCAGCAGTGACTGACCTAAAAGTCTGTCTCCTCTGGAGGAAGGCCCCTGAGGATCTGCTGCGGCAGACAGTATCCTTTAGCCGTTGGGAATGGGAACTCACGGCGGATGCGGAAAGGGCACAGGGCAGCGGTTGTTAGCCAGGGGGGAAGTGTGTCATTGTCCTACCAACCGATGTGGCCGTCCCACGTGCACTGGCTTCACATCAGTGCCACCCCAGCAGGCTTGCTTTACCACCGCAAACACAATGGCTGGGTAGTTTTGTGTTTTATTTCTGTAGTTTACACAAAGTGGGAGGAGTTTTGTTGTTGTTACCGTTTGAGACAGAGGCTCCAATTGTAGCCTAGGCTGACTTTGAATTCTCAATCCTCCTGTCTCAGCCTCCTGAGTACTGGGATTGTAAGTGAGTACCATCATTCCTGATCCCCCAAAAAATCTCTTCTTCTTCTTTTTTAAAGCAGGGATCAATTTCGAGCATCCCTTACCTGGAAAGGTGACGGTAATCCTCAATAGGTTAGAGGTGGCAGATACTCTGGCGGGACCACTTGTGTACAGGGACTTTCTGTCATAAACTTCCACTTTGCACTGATACACCCCTGTCTCCTCCAGAGCAGCATCGTGGATTTGGAGTTGGGAACGGAATGAAGACTGTGAAACCTTCGTCTTCCTGTGGAACTGGGAGAGGACATCCCCCCATTCAACTGTGCCATTGTGGGTGATTCGAATGAGCTGCTGAAAGGCCCCGGAGCCAGCTGGCTGGAATTGCCAAGTCACTGAGAAAGGCAGCTTGAGATCTGAGTAGTTGGCCCTCACGATGCAGGACAGGTCGAAGGTGTGGGTTAACGTCACTTGTGGCTGCCGGCTCATCAGATTTACTTGTAAACTTGATTCTGCGGGGGGTGTGAAAGTGAGACACGCTTCCTGTTTACCAAGTCCAAGCACAGGACTTCCAAGTTTTCTCAATGCCACCCCTTCACACAGGGCCACACATTTGTGCTCCTGGAATATCGTGAATTTGGGGGTAGAGGTTGGTCCACAGTACAGTCTGTCCCCAATTGCAACCTCAGCCCTCCAAGTTTCCCCCATCGCCTGTTGACTGTTCTCAGCAGCCACAACAAACAGGCAGTGTTTCCACAGTGGGCCACTTAGACAGCTGCACTGAGCGAGGAGGACACTCACAGCCAGGGTCTGGCCTCCTTCCTCTCCCCACTCAGCAAGGAGAACACTCAGAGCCAGTGTTTGGCCTCCTCCCCACCCCCAGGGCTCAGCGTCACTCGCTTGCCTGTGCTAGAAAAGACTTCACAGGCGGCGGATGCCCAGGCTGCTGTTGGAATGGAACAGGCTTGCCTCCACTCATCTGTAAGTCAACTCCTATTCATAGGGGTTTGTTTTCAACTTGGAGCAATTTACAAGGTGCCCTCTAGAATGATCTTTATAAAGATGAATAAACTCTGAGAGGTTAGTCGACAGGCCTGATATGCAGATCCTGCTCTGTTCGTCTCAGGTTATGTATACCATAGGCAGGGGTTCCGGATGTTGCTACTCAAACTGCAGTACACAGTGGAGGGACTGACACACTTCCAGGAAAGGATTTCCCAGATACTCACCCAGAGATATGACAGTGACTGAAATCCTCTGGGTCCACTGCAAATCTTTGGCCTGGTTCTGGGGCCTCTCCGACACTCTGCATTCATAGGTCCCACTGTCTGTGACCATGGCAGAGCCAGTCTCCAGCCGAAAGGTAGCCCAGTCCACTTTCTCCAGCTTTCTGTCGCTACGGTCCCCGGGGCTCGGAGAAGAGACTCCCCACTGCACAGTACCATCTTGCCCCATGCCAGCCACAAACACGGCTGTGGTCTGGTCCTGTGGGATGAGCCACCAGCTCACAGACAGAGGACCTGCATCCCCACCAGCCTTACAGAGAAGGGTAAGCGCCTCTCCTTCCCACAGGGCCCGCTTCTCGGCAGACACAGCCACACTTCTTGCTGCAGATTACAGATTATGGAAGAAAAGTGCATCAGTTAAACAAAACCATTTCTGAAATACAGTGAAAGTGAATTATAAGTAAGGACTTGACTTATTTGTGACAAATCAGAGCTGGTTGATTCCTCCTGTACCACAGCCAGAACAAAGATCTGCCAAACATTTATATTGTAAATAGATGGATGGATGGATGGATGGATGGATGGATGGATGGATAGATAAATTTATAGGTGTATGTATATATGTATGTGTGTGAATGTATGTATATATGGATGGATGAATTTGTATGTAAATGGATAGATGGATAGGTAATAAATAGATGGGTGAATGGATAGGTGTGCATGTGTGTGTGTGTGTGTGTGTGTGTGTGTGTGTATAATAAAATTTCCTTAAGGTAATTATCATAAAGTGGAAACAAGACAGGTGACCAGAAGAACCTATGGACACATACATGATTCATAATATACACTTATATTTCTTATCGTTTTATTCAGTCAGCCCATACTGAAGAATATCCAATTGAGCAAATATCTGATAGTATTTTGTTTGATTCATTAAGGTGAGTAAATGAACCAGAAAGTAATGAAGCCCTGATGATTTAAATATTTAGGGTGTTTGCTTTGTTTTTCAGAATAAAGGCCACCGGTGTTTTCAATATGTTCTCCATCTTCCTACTTACCTTATCCCAGTCAGACCAAAACTGCTTAGTGTGTGTTTTGAACAAGGAAAGAAACTTATTAATTAGACCAATTCCACCATAAAAAAAAAACAACTAATTTGGGGAAATGTATATTTATATACACATACATCATATATATAGATGCGTATCTCTCTTTGATCATTGGTAAAGATAGTCTTCTTATGGTTAAATTACTGTGCCTGCTAACTATAAATGTAAGGCTGGCACCCAGATGGGAAATTCAAGACGTGGAGAAACGCAAGCATTCTCTCAACAAATGCTTATTGTGTGAGGTCCTGTCCTGGCTGCTCTGTGGGCCACGCGGACACATCAGGAGCTCCCGGGTCTCAGGCAGCCCAGCACTAAAGGCCAACGACAACCATCACCACCCAGAGGCAGAACTACTCTGGGCAGCACACTTGACCTCTCTGCGCCTTTGTGTTTCTTTCCAGGAAAAATGAGGGTAATAATAGCAGCCACATTTTGCTTTGTTGAGAAGGCTGAACAAAGGCCACACAAAGGGCTTAGGCCTTGGGCTACGCAGAGTACTGAAAAGGGGTTGGCTATTACCATTAGTGTTTAATAAGAGGCACTGGCAACAGAGGAGGCAGTTCAAAGCAAAAGAGAAAAATAAAGCAGAACCAGCATTAGACATCTAACGGGGATCTAAATGAGTCTGTGAATTGTTCTTCCCCACAGAGGAGAGCGATCCCTTCCACTGCTTCAGGCATGCACCCACCAGCTACAAGGCAGGATGAAGACAAACCTTCCTAAGCAGGTTGGGCAAATTATCAAATGTGCCTCTGTGTTTTGGGTGTCAGAGGCACGATCATGCTCTCTGCCTTTTGTCTTTAATATAAAAATGACTCATAACTGAAGTTTGCAAATTAGAAGGGCAATGACTAGTCATAATCTCACCACTGTAACACAACCACCATGATTAGTTTCAACTAACATAACTTCAAAAATTCATCGTGGCCATTCGCCTCATAGTAAGAAGTAAGAAGCACAGCAGGGCACAGGGACGGTGGGTATCCCCTTCTGCTTAAAATATTCATGGAACAATAAAAACTGCTCATATTTTAAATAGCAGTTTGACTTTCAAAACAGAGTGTTAGACAAGGTCCTCAATAAATATGCTAATAAGTTTTCCAATTGCTACATGTTCGGCCCAGTTGGGACTCCAGCCTGTGGGGGGAAAAATTCTTTAGCATTGAAAGGTAACCCTCTCCCCTCGGACCAGGAGCCGAATGCCATGAAGTACCCTTTCGAGCTCCGGGATTCAAATGCTCACACACCGAGTTGAAGGAAGCTTGTAGATAGTTTCCCTGGGGAGTTGAGAGATTTAGTGAGCTCTGTGCAAATATGTAAACCACCCACACTGGTTTTCCTGAATCCTAGAAACCTAGACCAAATGTTTAGCATGGAAACTAACACCAAGACGCTTCCGTCCAGAGCCCTGCTCTCTTCCTCCCTAGCCGCTGGGGAGAAGGAAGCGGAATGCAGAGGGGCATTTAGCTATCTTTGGAGATACCCCTAACGAGCAAGTGCAGCAAGAACAGCGTTCATTTCAGCTCGGTTTATTTTTAATTAAGACTTCTTCCCCTACTTTTTGCTTTTGGGCAAATTTACTTTCTAGACTCCTACACTCAGCGCAGAGGATTCTAATATTGGTTCTGGGTGCTATGTAAAGCCCGGATTATTGAAACATAGTTAGAGTCACTCCGTCTTCACAAAGTAAGGATGAATGAACTCAGTGGATGTCCCGAGTCTGTTTTGTGTTGCAGGAACAAAATACCTAAGGTGGTCGGGTAAGGTATTCTGACGGTTTAAGAATCCAAATACTGTGGTACTGGCATGGTGGGGGCCCTCTAGCTACGGCAGAACATCACGGAGGAGAAAGGGAAGCAGGAGGGATAAGGGCACAAAGTGGCCTCATTTATACAGTCCTGTCTCCGAAGGTGGCATTAATACGTTCGTGAGGGTGGAGCACCCACGGTCTAATTTTGTTCACATCACCACACTGAGGACCACACTTGGAGCCTTTGGAGGACAATTAGAAGCCACAGCACTGGCTCTCGGTGTTCTGCTCAGAGGGATGCTCAGGACCAGTTGAGCAGACATCTCACCGCATCCCAACAAGCACAGAGAATGGAGTCTGTCTGCTTTCATTTGTCTCCTCATTTCTCACTGTGAGTCAGAATTATGACCCACTGCAAGTTAACATAACCAGATTAGCAGAAAGCAATTGAAAAACGGCCGCCCAGCCTCAACTCAAGGTCAGCTTACTTGGCCGTGTGTTCCCCAGGAAAAGGGACTCTACTCCCCCCACCCCCCGCTCCCATATACACATGTATTCACACACACACCGGTACACACATGTGCCGCACATTCATGCATTTATAAGCATATGCTCATGTATGTACATGTGTACGAACACATGAAGTCAGAGGACTTTATACAGAAAACCTGGCATACAAAAATTGTAACTAAAACAGACTCAAACAACGTAAGACAGCAAGAAGGGACTTGAGGGCCTTTTTATAGACAAGAGAACTGAAATTGAGTAATGAAGAGAGGTGTCCATGGCCGATGGCTCAGAAATTGGACTCCAAATGTCTTGGCTCGTCTTGATACTTTTCCCCTCCTCTACTCCACCTCCAGTGGGGTCTGACAGACTCCAGACTCTATAGGAAAACCCTCACTGTGTTCCTGTACTGCCCAGGGAGGGGGCGTCTGGAGAGAACACCATCTGTGGTTGTCCCCATGTCACATACCTGCCGGCTCCCTCAGCTGCACCCGGCTGACTGGCGACTGCTTTCTCCGAACTACCTGCCAGGAGCCGGTCTGAGTCCTCACCACCTCAGCTACTTCACAGCTGTAGGCGCCTACGTCCTCCGGGCTCAAGGAGAAGATCTTGAGAGAGAAAGTCTGGGTGCTTAACTTGGAAACCTGCAGCTGTCCTTGGCTTGCTCTGTCTCTGTAGTCCGTCTTCAGGTCCAGGACCCCATCAGCATCGATCTGGGCGATTTCCTTCCCGTTGAGGAACCAAGTACCCTGAAGCTTCTGGTCACCACCTCTGCCCACAACCAGGCAAATCAGTTCCAAGGGGTTTCCTTCAGCAGGCAAGCTCCTGGCTGTGATGTCCACTTCAAAATCTCTTGCTGGGGAACAAAAGCAAGGCAGATGTTTAGAAAGCCCACTGTCCTTGCCGCTTTGGGCACAAGAGGGACGAAATCTGTGATAACGATACCGTGGTTGCATTTTATGTAGCCTTTCAGTTCTGTGGTGGAGTGAGTTCCCTACTCCAATTTAGCCCCACAGTGAAAGGAAATTACAAAGGCCCCCGACTATTCTAAATCACCCAGAAAGGACAGTATCCATTTCTTGAAGCAGTCCCAGCAAGTGAAAAGCATGCACAGATGTGTCAAGTATCTATTTAGGCATGCCTCCTTAATTAAAAAGTGAAATATTTCATGCTGTGTTGAATTGCTGTAAATTATGACTTCTGGTTTTCTCTTTTATTTTTGTGCTGGGGATTAAACCTGGGCCTCACTGTGTGCTGGGCATCCACTGCTTACTCTGAACCATAACCCCTGCCTTTATCTCTTCCTCTGTTCATTTGTCTAAGAAAGAGCTAGCAGAATTTTTCTAACTTCTGAGCACACTTGATACGGCCTTGTAGGACCCAATGAGCACATATCAGATACTTGAGGGCCACAGGATGATTTGTAGTGGAGCAGAGTAACATATAAAGTCAGTTATCCACCCCTGGAGTATTCCTTTCCACAGTGTGTTGTGGAATAGAGTATTTGTTTAACTATGTAAAGATACGTTGCATTTGATTGTATTGCAGGATAATTGTTTAACTATGTAAAGATGTGTTACATTTGTTTCATCTTGCCTGACTAAAGCATCTGATTAGCCTAATTAAAAAGATGAACAGCCAATAGCTAGGCAGTACAGGGATGACGGGCAGAGAGAATAAGGAGGGGGAGGGATCTAGGCTAGAAAGAGAATGAGGAAGAAAAAGAGGGAGATGCTCAGGGCCAGCCATTCAGGCAGCCGCCAGTCAGACACAGAGGAAGCCGAAAAGTAGGACATACAGAATGAATAAAGGTAACAAGCCCTGAGGCAAAACATAGATGAAGGGAAATAGGTTAATATAAGTTATAAGAGCTGGTGGGGCAAGCCTAAACTAAGGCCGAGTCGTCATAACTAATAATAAGTCTCCATGTCATGATTTAGGGCCTGGCGGTCCAAGAACGCCTGCTACATTTGGTACCCATACCGGGCACCAAAAAGCTGTTCTACCTTCCTCACAGTGCCTGTGCTTTAAACTACTGGCCGCCACGCTGCTCAGGCCATAGCTTGGGGGGGAATTCTGTTCCCCCAGACAATGGCTCTGTTGTTGCCACTAAAGGTAGCTTTAACTAAACCTCTATCATTCTAATAAAACTCAAGATTCAAAGGCTAGAGTGAAAACCTGACAGCTCAGAGAGTTGGAGTAGCAACTTGCTAATGTTCTCTCTTTGCCGGTGTCCCCAGAAGGCCCTCTCTTTTCGCCCCCCACCCGAACTGAAAAACCCATGACACGCCCCCTCCTTGCTACTTCCTGCCAACTAGTTGCTAACCCCGCCTCTAGGAGCCCAGGTTAATTTTATTTAATTAACGCAAATGCAACACATCTTTACATAGTTAAACAAATATTCCACAACAACGGGGGATACTCCCCGTTTTAACTGGCCCTCCTATTGGACCAGTGCACCTAAGGAGACCAAAACTGACCAGGCCTTTCTGTCTACTTTTGATGAAAACGTCAATGGTTCATGTAAGGTGACAATTTCAAACCTGGTGGAAAAACATCCTATCACCCACAGGGACGAGGCTTCATGTTGGAAATTAGAGCCGCTTTTAGGCCCAGCTGCCTGTGGTAGGTAGGCCTCGGAGAGAGGCAGGTTAGACTTTGGAAGTAGGTTTCTCCATTCCCCAGCAGGGGTTGGAATGTACTCAGTGTGCCTGTAACTGGGGTTCCTTGTTTTTAAAATGGGGGGCTGACTACCTTATGGGGTGACTGTTTGGACTACAATTAAAAAATATAAATAACATGCTTACAAAGTGCCTGGTAAACATGGTTATAAAATCCGTTTCCATGGCTGGCTTACAGCATCAATCTAGCTCTTTCATATTTCTTGTCCCATATAAAATCTCCCATGAGCAGAGCTAAAATGGAACATTTTGGAACATCTTCTTTTCAGTTATGCTTCCCAGATGACAAAAACAAAATTAACTTAAACTTTTTATCTACTTTTTAGGGAAAGTCAACAAAAGGTTAAAAAAAAAAAAAAAAAGCTCTCCCTACTTACTCACTGACAGCGAATTCACAGATTTTCTGAGCAGATAATTACCTGCTGGCTGGATCCTCAGAGCTGTTTGATCTGTCCGCTTTCTTGTGATCAAAGTCCACGTTTCATCTGGATCCTGAATCCATTCTGTGGCCTCGCAGAACAACTGGCCTTGATCTGAGGGCTGCAGCTTGCCTATGGACAGCTTGAAGGAGGTGACTCCAAGCTTGTCCAGCCGCACGTCACCGGCCGCGAACCTATCTGCATAGGAGGGCCCCGGGGCCAGTAGGAAATCCCTGGAGAGGGAAATGATCTCAATGGCTTGGCCGCCTCCCCCATCCTGCACCAGGTACCAGGTGAGAGAGAGGTGGGTATGTTGAGCCGTTGCCTTGGTGGCCTCGCAGGTGAGTTCTAACGGCTCGCCTTCCTTCTTCCTGAGCGTCTGGGAGGGCATGGTGGCAGACAGGGTGTCGGGAATCACTGGAAACAAAGCGACAGTGATCATCTGACTGGTTCGAGTTTGTGTCCTTAGACCTTCTCAAGGGAAGATGGCGTCTAAACCGCATCCACAAAGCGCATCCTTTGAGCTTGCTTTCCCAGCCAGATGCCTTCCTAACGTGGGCCTTCCCTATGGCCGAGGGAACATGGGAACTTTGCAAAGCAAGTGGCTTAGGGATGTACGACCCTGGCTTTGGTTCCGCAGCCTAGGCTGGAGCCAGGCTAGCTACTCAGCCACCAGTGGGAGGGGCACCGGTGCTTCTAGACCTAGATTCTGGCCTTCAGCCACCCGGGCGTCTCACTAGATGCGCATGAGTGGATCGCTTTGTTTCTCTCCCCAGACTCTAACCTGCTTTTTCTATTACAGAGATCCGAAATAATGTGATTTGTTATTCAGACCCCCAAATGCACTGTTTCCCGAAGTTTTCATAGCTGTCTTAGGACCCTACCATTCTCTTCTTTCTCAAATGCAAGCCATACAGTCCAAGCTCATCCAGCACTGAGGCTGAGTCACCGAATACTCTAGACACTGCTCTAAGAGCTGAGCGTTCCCAGGAGCTCAGAAGGTGGTGGGAGATGTGCATATAAATAGCCAGTTATGGCATAACGGGGTGAATGCTGGTAATCACAGTGTGAACAGGGCATTAAGAAGAACCAAGCTGGGGATATGCCCTGAGGCAATCGAGAGGGTTTTGCAAAGGAGGTAATGTTGAATCTGCATCCTGAAGTTCCTGTGGGAGTTTGCTAAATTGCAAAAGAAAGCTAGCTAGTCCAGGCATATGACAGTTGCAAGAATCTGAACTGTCCCTGTAGAGAAACGTGCTAGGAAATGGTGGTTGGAAAACAATCATTCTGCAGTGAATGACATCACCTATGATATTAGTGCCATCTCTCCCTTACCAAGCTGCAAGATGATATGACATGCAAAGGTCCATCTAATGCTTTGCTACTACCAGTTTGTGAGTAGAGGTCTTGGGAAGATCCCCCCACACTGGCTCAATCTGTGTGGGATAGGTCACTGGGAAAACACGAGACACCTCCTTGTAACACATCTCCGAAATACTCGGAGTGATAGGTAGGCTCTTCATCCAGAGCAAACAGACTAATGGAAAGCTTTTCCCTGGGCAGAGCATTGTGATGGCAGAGACAGGCTTGCCAGGAACTGGCTAGCAAGAGCTCACCAGTTAGATTTGTCTTCGCACTGTAACTTCCAAAGTACTTCCCATCCGTGTTGGGTGTGAAGCACTCATATTCGCCAGCATCCCTCATCTGGAGCTTTGCGATGTGCAGCAGGACCGAGCTGCCCTGCAGCCTCTCCACGTAGATCTCCTTGCTTTTCACCCTCTGGGCATACACTGCATAAGAGAAGCTGGCATCCTTGGTACTGATGATCTGAACTTCCCTGGTTGGGGCTGTTGGCAGGTAAACAGACCACTGGAAATCCTGCGTAGAAGGTCCCTGATGACCACTTACGTTGCAGCTGATGCTGACGGGGTAACCTTCGGCTCTGTACAGAGGTCCTTTTTGAATTGTTACTTCCCTCTGGCCGATGCTGAGCTTAGCTTGCAAGTAGGAGGAAGAAAGGGGAATAAAAATAGATGAGTGCTCTAATTCCCGGGGTACCACATCATGTAGTCCTCTATATTACCATCCTGGTAAATGAGACTGTAGGTTATTAGCTATCATCACCTCAGATCTTCACTGCCTTCCTCAGGCTGGATGGCAGAGGAATGGCTCAGCGAGGTCATCGTTCCTCTGTTACTTAAGCTTGCATAGTTTTAGTCTCCTTTTGAAAATGTTTAGTTTCAACCACGAATCAAGGCCACATCCACAAAGCCGCAGTTTGTCTAAATGGACTTACTTGAAAGGTAATATAATATCTGATAATTTACCTTTTGCAGTATTTTATGGCAACACAGCATAAACTTCCTCAAACCTCAAATTCCGAGACACAGTCTCTCTCACGGAAGGGCTTTCAAGAGAGGCAAAGTCCTCAGCTCTGCTCTCAATGCCTTAGTCTTTCTTGCTGGTTGGCTGGAGATATCTGTAGCTCTCAACCACGTCTGATGCGAGACGAGATAAAATGAGGACCGGAAGTGGCAGCAACACTTCCTGTCGTCTGCAAAGGGTTTTCTTTTCTATTTGCTTTTGCTTTGTTTTGCTTTCTGACTTCTTAGAAAGGCCCTTTCCCTTTTCTAGGAAAACTCTGAAAGGGATGCTTTATAAAGCCCAGGTTCTTTGCTCCGAGTTAAATTCTTTTCTTACTCATGGTTTTCAGCTAGGATGTTTTTTAATTGAAACCTCAGACTATTAGGTCTAAAGGAGAAAACGTGACCAAAAGGTCATGTTTCTATAGAGAAATGTTTTTAATTCAGCATTTCCCTTCCAGAAACTACTACGTGTTTATTTATTAATACTGAAAGGGATCTTATTTTTGTGTTTCTGAAAGAGTAAAAGACCAGTGACAATGATTCCAAAGGGGTGGACAGGGTCTTCTACGAGGGTCCAGGAAACCTTGAAGGGCAAGACAGGGTTGAATAACAACATCAAAGGGTCTCTGGAGAGCTCTGGACAGCACAGAGGCGTTGACAGACTAGAACCCTTCAGTGTAGGCTCCAGAGAAGCAGAGCAGGGACAAAGAGTTAAGGAGGCTCCTGTGGGGAGAGAGAGAAGACAGTGCAGAGCTCATGAGAAGAAGTGGAAACTATCCGAAGGCCCAGAAGGAGACTCTCTCCCCCACACAGGGGTAAGTGATGACTTGATATAATCAACTGAAAACTTAAAAACTGCATCTGAATACACTTAACTAAAACTGGCCAAGAAACTAATCAATACCCAACCACACACATTTCCAGTAATAATTTAAAAATACATTCAAGTATTCATAAATCTCAATGCTATATATTTATATCACACTTTTTTTGTGTGCCGAATATCTATAAATAGGACTCAGACCACATTAGAAAAAATATTATTACTTACCAGAAAAGGACTACAGAGGAAGTTTCAAACATTTTCAGCCAGGCAGCCTTAGTGAAATGGGGGCACTGTGCACCAGGCTACATATGAAGGAATAGTTACAGCAGCACTATTCACTGTCCCCCCAAACGAGGGTTAGCCCACATGTCCATCATCAGAACAGACACACTGTGGTAATGTACCATAAGATGGAATCATATAAAGAAATTTAAAATAAAAATTATAACTTTTTGCAATAACATGTAGAATTATATCTAATCAGACACAGAATACCTTTGAATCTCTTTGACTATGTATAGAAAGCCTATCCTTTATAAAGTTAAAAATAGGGGCTGGAGAGACGGCTCAGTGGTTAACAGCACTGATTGCTCTTCCAGAGGACCTGGGTTCAATTCTCAGCACCCACATGGTGGCTCACAACCATCTGTAACTCCAGTTCCAGGGGACCTGACACCTTCACACAGGTCTACTTGCAGGTAAAACACCAAAGCACATAAAATTAAATTTTTTAAAATAGGCAAAACCACATTGTATTGTTTAGTTGATGCATAAGGGTTAAAATCATAAGTCAGGAAGTGGTTATTCTGAGAGTCTGGAGTGAGTTGAGGGGAAGGATTATGTCCTGATGATGTACAGGCAGGCTGGGTGGGCACTTCTAGGGACCTAATGATGTTTCTTGAACTTTGTAGTGATTACACAGGATTTGGTTTCTGCTTATTTGTCAAACTTCACATTTATGTTTTATTAACCTTTTCTAACATACTACATTTCACCATGAGAATATTTTTTTAGAACTGAGGAGATGCTCGTTGTGTATGCATAAGGACCTACATTTGAACCCCAGTATCCAGGTAAAAGCTGGACACAGTGGTGGTGTACCTATTATCCAAATGCTGGGGAGGCAGAGACAGGAGAATTCCAGGGACTTGTAGGCAAGCTCATCTCTCTGAATCGGTGAGTCCCAGGTAGAGTGACAGATCCTGTTCCTAAACACAGGGTAGACAGCCAGCTCTGACCAATTTGGCAAGATAGCCTAAGGATGCAATACTAGCCCTCATATCTTGGTAGCGACCAACAGCTCTCTAATCGGACCTAAGGCCCATTGAACAGGAGAGAAATCTTGCTAAGTATTGAAAACCCAGCCAACTGCCCAGGGCTAGTGAGGTCATGGATCTTAGAGAAAAACCTACTACTGCCATTTTGCTAAGCCAGAATAATTCCCAATTACGTTCTAAATATTTATCTCTATGCCCACAGGTACGTATAACTCTCAGATACTTGTAAACTCTCATTATTCATCAAATAAACTTTTCTTTGCAACAAAAGGAGAACATTACAGAACACCATAACTAGTCAAAATGCAAAGAACAAGTGGTCATGGGGTGGCCATCTCCAACAACACAGTTCCTGTATCTAAGGCTCAGGTAACATCAATGAAGGGGGGCGGGGGGCAGAAGATGGACCAGGAAATCTGCTGTGAGAATGTGTCTTCTGGAAATGACAGGGGAGCTTCACCCACACCTCAGCAATACAAGTGTCTGAACAAGACCTGACAAAGACAACACCAGCAGATGTGCTCACATGGAGGAAGAAATCTCACTGGGCCCCAGTCATAGACCAAGAGCTACAGGCAACTAAGGACTGCTCAGGGTAGGAGAACTATTCATCCCCGGGGATGAGCCCCCTAAGTGTGTCTCCAACACCAAGTGGTCAGCCACAAAATCATACACAGACAAGTAATACAAAATAACTGAGTGGGTTGTATTTATGTATTTATGCATAGATATGTATTACAAACACACATATACATACATGTAGTAATGACAAAGAAAAAGATGCCATGAGCTTGACAAGAGGTAGGGGGATATAGGAGAGGTTGGAAGGAGGAAAGAAAGGGGGGAAATGATATAATTATATTTTAATTTCCAAAAACTTGAAAAAAGAAAAGGTGGAAGGAGGTTGAGAACGGCACCTGACATTAGCCTCCACATGCACACACATGCACACATACATACACATATACATGCACATACATACACATACACGCACGTACACATACACACATACATGCACATGGATACATATACAAACATACAATACACATACATGTACACACATGGACATAGACATATGTACAAACGAACATTTTGTTTTGTTTTGTTTTTCAAGACAGGGTTTCTCTATGTTGCCCTGGCTGTCCTGGAACTCACTCTGTAGACCAGGCTGGCCTCGAACTCACAGAGATCCACCTGCCTCTGCCTCCCTAGTGCTGGGATTAAAGGTGTGCGCCACTACAACCCAGCTAAATAAACATTTTTTGAAGTATAGCTTTGAGGTACCATTAATCTTTTTCTGTCAGGACATGTTATGTTATTAATTTTATTGTGGGCAGCTGGGCAATGCTTCTTCAACGTTTTCCATCACTTCTTGGTGAAATAAGCGCACATAGAAAGTTTCTGTTGTGGAAACCAGCACTTCATTTCACCTGCTTTATTTATTTAGAGTCTTTCTGATTCTTGAGAGACTGACATCAAAGATGAGATTGGAGTCATCTCCGACCTTGAGCCTCAATCAGCTAGCCAGTTAGAACAGCAATCACCTCTACACAAAGATACAAGTGGACCCCTGCAGAAATTTAAGGAGAGCAGAGATGTCGTGACTGTGGGTGGGGGAGGACATAAGTGAGGCTTGTGGAAGGGACGCTGCTCTATTTTCCTTCTGTTTCTGTGACAAACACCCTAACCAAAGTCAGCTTGGGGAGGAGAGGACGTAATTCAACTTATAACCCGCAGTCCGTCATTGAGGGAAGCCAGTGTGGGAGCTCCAGGTAGGAACTGAAACAGAGGCTGGAGAAATTCAGCTATCTGGCCTTGTTCCAGGCTCGTGTTCAGAGCCCAGGTCCGCCTGCCTAGGGATGGGATTGCCTACAGCGGGCTGGGCCTCTTACAGCAATTAGCAACCAAGAAAACGTCTCCATGGAGATGCCTACAGGGCAGTCTGATGGAGGCATCTTCCCAGTTGTGATTCTCTCCTCCCAGGTTGCTGTTGAGGTGACACAAAGTAGCTAGCACAAATGTCATCGGGAGTGGACTCTGGAGGACGGGGAGGATTGCATGCCAAGTGGAGGCAGAGCCTTTGAGGTGAATGAGACTTTATGACACAATGGCATGGGTAGAACTGAAAAGATCTGCTCAGAAACAGGAAGTGGTCAGCTTTGGGGGAAAGACATACAAGAAGACTGATGGGTGGGCGTGAGCCTGGCTGGGAGCAGGAAGAGCTTGACTACCATGGTTAACAGTTTGTAGTTAACTAGGCCATCGGCAATCCACCAAGAGTGTCAGAAAGATCTTAGCGAAGGCAATCTGATGGTTGTGTGGAGAATGGTGGAAGTTGGAAATTGACATCAGGTCACTTCTAGCTCAGGACAGAGGGGATGAACTGCAGGGGTGGAAAGGAAGGGGCCATAACTAAGAGCTATTGTGGAGATGACATCTGTAGAGGTTAGGGCTCTGGAGGCTTCAGTGTAGGAGGGACGAACATAGGGACAGCAGGTTGGAGGAAATCAGGTACCCGTGTTTGATAAAATTGCCTGGGAGAACAATGGCACTCAGCAGGAAAAAAAAGCATCAGTGAGAATTATTACTGTGTATTCAAGGGTGGGCCAGAAGATAATGCATTTAATTTTGGAGGCAGGGAATTTGAATGCTCTGGGATAAACAGGAAAGATATCAAAAGACATTTGGGAAAATATTTAAATATGTGTATTTTA